CGCCAAGCTCTGGGTATCTGCTGCTCATTCCAAAAGCTATCAGACATGCACTGGCAAGCCTGCAAACAGAGCACACTTGAGTTCAATTTCACCAGCTGCAGAAGATGCAGGAGCATAGCGGGAAATGGGGATGTACTGCATAGAAAAATAAGGGCCCGTGGCAAAAATCCTCTGCCTTTGTCACCAGTGCTACCCACGAGGGGACGTGGCAATGCTGAACGCTTGGATTCCCGCAAGCTGGGTTACACTTCATGCCTTACTACTGCGGTTTGTGATGCCCACGGTATCCCCACAGCAAAAGTGGGAAAGGACACCACAGAGTGAAAATCACCTCATATCTATTTGGTACATTGATCCCTATGGAAAGGGAAGGGGCTCAGAGTAACTCAAAAGCAACGTTGAGAGGCTCTAGCCAGCTCTGAAGCGAGCCTATTGCTGCAGGGAGTAAGCATGTGGAGTGGGAGGGGTGGAAGAAAATTGAAGAGCTCCCCAGGACTTCATCAAGGGGACAGAGGAAGAATGCTTGGTGCAGACAGGCAGGGCCATCTCCTGCACAGAAAGCTTATCTGCTTTAGCAGTTGCCCATTAGGTAACGTACAGTTGCCAGGAACTGAAAACAGAAGGCAGCAGGAGAGACATCAGCTAGGACAAAGGGAGCAAAGAAAATAGGCTGCCAACCTAAACCAAATCTTTTGAGGTTATGGGACCTCAGGGATGAAGATGCCTTTGCTGTTTAAAAGTAGCATAAAGAAAGGCAGGAGATCTCCAAGAGCAATGACAGAACCGATCATTACAAGGAAAAGGCAACTCAGCTAGGACAAAGGCTTAGCAGTTATTCAAGCCACATGCTTCAGAGCACAAGCGACTGCACCTGGACTCCGGAAGAAAATGCCACACCCACCACACTGGAGTTCAATACCAAGGGCACTAGAGAGGCTTATTGCCTACCTCAGAAGCATCCAGCAGTTACTGGAGATCCAGCCGGTATCAGACCGGACACCAGTCTAGATGGGCCAGTGGGTTTGCTCCAGTTGGTCAATTTTCATGCTCCTATGAGAGAGGCTGCTTTTCTGAGTTAGCATTTGCCGACCAAAATGCCACATATAGATCTGGACATCACTCACCAGCACATGTGAACACGACACGAGACATGCGTCGGTCACTAGCTCCAAGCCTTAGACAGTCGCCACATTAGTCTCGGCAGCATAGCCAAGATGCCAGCTGCACCGAGAGCAATCTCTAGCTATGCCTTACATAACTGTTTCTGAAGCTATTACAGCTGATTAACGCTTTGCAAAATGCAGGGAAATAAAACTTATTTCACAATCAGTATGGAGCCAGAGAAGTTAAAATCGTCTCCAGATTACTTGGATGGCGGGGGGTCAGCAACATCCTAGAAAGGAAGATCAAATAGGGGCTGTTCGAAACAACGGGGAAAAACATCTCCTCAAAATGCATTAAAAGCTACAACCTATACAGATAGCACCACCTACTGCACTACTACGGAAATGCAGCTGAGAACCGCACGCTTAGGTCGCTAAAAATGTCAACAAGATTATTTGGGAGTTTGGAACTAGAACTTTCAGGCCCCGTGAAAGGTGAATGCTCCGTCATGTAAGAGATTCAAGTTTGTTTTGTAGTTGTCGCTTGCAGCAGACGACCTATCCACACCACAGACACAACCAAGTCTGGGAAACTGGTTACAACACAGTGGGGCCCCCATGACAGGTTACAATTTGTAGCATTGATGACCACAGTTATGAAATGCTTCAGAAGGCAGCTAAGAGTCCATCCAACTACAAATTGCAACAGTGTTGGAACCAGGCCAGAGGAGAAACAGTATTGTAACCCAGGGCTGTATTTGTAGCGTGGGCAGGCTTGCAGTGCTCAACCACTAACCCACCCATGCTTTCCTTCTAGGCTACTTCTGGGGCTTGCGCCAGAGGAGAGCAGACGTTCAAGTGTGATCAGAGTCGTGTCTGAAGTTCGATCACTGTTATTCTGCGTCTTTCCCGTCACTGACTACTAGCAGTGTCTTTTGTACGGTAAGACAGAGGAGACGACAATAAGCCCATCCTATGGAGTGAGTGGTGTCCTGAGACGTTGCTCATTGTATCGTGGTAGCACTAGGCACAGGCCACGCTGCTCCTAAGCAGACACCACTGATTCAGCTGTTAAATTAACACGCAACTGCTCTCCATGTTGGCATCCTATTTTATGCAGGAGCAAAAATATCAATGATCATCCCAACCCTCAAAAGAAGAGGTTACACTTGCCTTGTGCAGTAACTGTGGTTCTTCAAAATATGTCCCCCCGATGGGTGCCCCATTTCAGGTGCACATTTGCTCCTGATCAGAGATTTTCTCTTAGCAGCGTCTGTTGGGCCTGCGGGTGCGCTCTATACAACCTTGTGGAACACGTCAAGGGGCTATTGACCTGCATGGGCACACTGCCCTCAGTTCCTTCTCTATCCAAATGTCCAACAAAGAACAGTCCAAGGCAGGGGGGATGGGAGGTAGGTAGTGGAACACCCAGAGGGGGACACATCTCAAAGAGCCCCAGTTACTGACCTCTTCTATGAGTCCCTATGGGTGCTCCACTTCAGGTGACTTTTAAGCAATATCCCCCACCGGGAGGAGGAAGCTTTGGAACGGAGTCTAAGACTGAAGACAGTACAGCAGCACCAAGTGCTGCATCAGATCTGATGGCATGGACTGAGGCATAGTGTCTAGAAAAAGTATATGCAGAGACCCACATAGTATCTTTGCATATCTCAGACACTGGAATGTTCTTGACTAGAGCTGTGGCAGCTGCCTGTGATCTGGTAGAGCGCTATTATCCTTTTGGGGGAGCGGAGCACCAGCTGCATCATAGCAAGCGATGATACACCCAGAGCTCCAACTCAGAAGTCTCCGAGTAGAGATCGTGGACGACGGGGATCTCTCTACGATGGAGACAAACAGTCTAGTCAATTTCCAAAATTGCTCAGTCCTATCTACGGAAAAGGCCAATGACCGTGATACATTTAATGTACGAAAGGAGGTCTCACACTGAGATTGATGCAGTTTGGAGATAAATATTGGTAGATGAATGAGCTGGTTAAGATGAAAATTCGACAGCACTTGAGCTAAGAATTTTAGCTGAGGCCGTAAGGAGACCCTGTCCCTGAAAAATACAGCAAATTGGGGTGCCATCCAGGCTCCGATCTCCCCAACCCTGCAAGCCAGCGTGATAGGCATTTGAAAGGCCATCTTCACAGATAAATGGAGCTATAGGTTCAAATGGAGGTCCCAGAAGTGGAGGTTCCCTAAACCCTTAATAAGTCTAGAGGACAGAGTGAGCAAATATTGAAAACCCTTCTAGTGGGGGATGAAATGCTAGTATCACAGCCAGATTAATCCTAACAGAGCTAATTAATACCTGTTGGATTTGAAGAACACATGGTAATTCAAGAAGGCGGAGAGTGAAGAGCTCTACATAGCCTTGGTGTGTGGCACTAGTTTGCACAGAGCGCATGTGCGGGCCGAACAGACACTGCTACCGAAAATCTCCGATCAAGGGCTTAAGAGGCACATGCGCACTTGAAGTGGGGCACCCGTAGGGGCACTACTCGAAGAACAACCTTCTTGCATCAAATGGTTGGAGCAGTGAGACTAGGACTCCTGAGTTCTGCTCCTAGTTCTTCCACTGATTTTCAGTGAGTATGGGCATGTTGTTTTGCCTCAGCTTCCCCACCATTACTCCTGTTTCCTGAAGGGGAAACAGGCCCAGAGAGGCAAAGGGACTTGCTCACATTTACACAGCTAGTCGGTGTCAGAAGTGAGAAGATGAAAAAGCTTTGCACAAAGCAGAGATACTCCCCACAACAGAAGGTCAAAGTATTAATCTCAGAATTTATTTTACATAGAAGCAGTGCTTTAAGAGCAGGAATATCCCACAAGTCAGTGGATTTGAAGCCTGCACACACAACTACTGTTTAAAGTTGATTCCCACCGTTACTTTATTCTACAGTAGTGCCAGAACCCCCAAACGAGGTCAGGGCCCCATTGTGCAAGACGCTGGACACACAATAAGAGACCATCTGTGACCACAAAGCTTACTGTCTAAACAGATGACAAAGGGTGGGAAGGGAAACAGAAGCTCACAGAAGGCAAATATCTTTCTCAAGGTCAACCAGCAGGTCAGTGTCAGAGCTGGGAATGGAACCCTGGTCTCCTACGTCCCAGTCAAGTCTCCTATACATTGAACAGTGCTACCTCTCCCTGGTCTCTACCACGGGAAGCTCAGCGGATGACTATACTGCTCACAAAGGTCTTCCAAAAAAACTGAGCTGCAGAAGGAAGAGCAGACTCACTCCTCAGGCCTGTATGTTGAGCACCAAGCAGACCCGAGAGGAGTCTCCCTCTGTCAGGAGCACAGCAGGAGGCAACTTCTCAGAATTAGTACACTTAATACCAAGTGAAGCATTTCATATGGCAACCCACAAAAGACAGTATCATTAACACCCTGTCTCAGGCTCCAAGGGAGGAAGTTCAGAGCAGACGCTGAAAAGAAAGCGAGAGCAGAAGCTTTGTCCTCAACGGGCACCATTATGCTTATGTCCTGCTTTATAAGGCTTGGGCAAGGATCTTAACTGACTAAGCTTGCTTCAGAGAGACTAGCATTAAAGCGCTGATGCTGCTTTAAATCCACCCTTTGGTGGGTTTGCTCTCAAGGTTTTAAAATCTCTCTAGAGCATATGAAATTGGAGTCATAGTATAGGACTTGCTGCTATAAAGGAGATGTTTGCAGCTCATTTCACTGGATTAGTCTATAGCACCCCAGAACATTCAAAACCTTCTCTTAAACTCTGAAAGGGGCAAAGGCTGATAAACAGACTTCTCTACATTCACAGAACGCTTTGAGTGGGGCACTTCTCCATTGGTACTATGTCTGCCGGGTATTCGTGGCATCCACAGTTTTACCCCTTTTCCTTCAGGTCATTTGAAAGAGATGCTCACCTCTAAGTAGGTCTGAGAGCGGAGGACCACAATCATCTGGAATCGTGTAGTCCCCTTTCCCGATGTTTTCAAATAACTTATAGATATTATCCCCCTCAAAGGGATAAAGACCCGTTGTAATGTTGTATCTGTAAATGCAGAAAGAACAGCGTGAGGATGAATATATGGAACACAAGTTCTAGTTCTTCAACAAGCAGATAAATCAGGAAAACAAGAGAAGCTGGATGACAGATGCTGACCCGAATGCATTCCTAACTTCTCTCTTAAGACAGCTTTCTTTCCGTAGCTTCACACACATATACGGGAACCAGAAACTTACCAAGCTACTTTTCCTACAAGCTGGAAAGGAAAAGACTTTTTTAAGCAAATACTTGGGAGGTGCTCAGATACTGCAACAACAGGAGCCCCAAACACACCTGGACAGACAGGGATTGAGAAATGGCTGGTATGGAACTACAAGCAGAGAGACTTGCTCAATTTCTCCAGCACTCTGGGCATTTGCTCCTGGATCTACCCACCATTCGAAAGGGAGTGGTAGCCCCAAATGCTCACACAGCACCCCCAGCTGCAGGTCCCAGAACAACATTGTGCCCGAAGCAAGTCACCCAGGGTTCCTGTGCAGGTACTTACAACGTGACCCCTGCTGACCAGATGTCCACTTTAAAGCCTGAAAAGGTATCCAGGCCATTGGCAATTTCCGGCGGCTGGAATGCTGGCGACCCTTGGCTCGTTCTGCACGTATCGTCCTCTGCAAACGGATGCAATGCCTGTGGCAAGAGACAGACATTTTAGTGACTCTCACGCTACTATCACAAACTCTTCAGAGATCAAGGATTATATCCACGATAAAACCTTTACCCTTGTGAGACTCCAGGCGAGTCTTTGTCCATCTTGTGGGTCTGACTACAATTTACCACAAATAGTAGTATATATTACAAGCAGAGCTGGTAGGGTCACCTATAGTTAAGATAGGCTAACACTTCCTAGTCTAAAGAGCCCATTTTCAGTTGCTTATAACCTTGCCTGACTAACCGTTTGGAACCAAGTTTTCTATGCTGTGTGTTTATCCCAGTCTGATTTTTTTAAGTTTCAGGTAAAACAGTTCAACCATTTCAGAGAATGAAATTGTTTTGCCCATGTTAAAAATGTTCTTACAACTCTTTTGTTGAGAAACTCTAGTACCTAGATTCTTGGATGTGCCTTTTGCTGTCCCTGTGAAAAGTCATCTAAACTCAGGCCAATTAGACTCTGAAAATCCCAGTTTTCACCTGGTCTAATGTGGGAAAAGTAGTATGCAATCATGTAATGAAAGTCTATTGTAACTATAGGTGAACTAATAATGCATAGCACAAGGGGTTGAACTAAAGTGGCACAGGCAACCTCAATACTGGAATTTCCTAACTTTTGAGTGCTTGACTTTTGCAACCATAAAGTTCTTCTGATGTACCTTTTTTGGACACACACACGCTTGCGTCCCTCCAAGTCTCCAGTGTGTATGTCTACAGCTGGTACGCTACAGAGGGAGACGGGAATGGGGTTCACAAGCCACTCTCACATACCTCTGCCACTCCTAAATCGGATATTTTTAGTGTCCCATTGGTTGTTAGCAGGAGGTTCCCCGGTTTTATATCCTTGTGGACAATCCCTTGGCTGTGCAAGTATTCTAAGCCATCTATGAGCTGGCAAAAGTACCTAGAAAAAGTCAGCGGGGAGAAAGATACTGTAAGTGATTCCTGTGACTAAAGGTCCATATGTGCTATTGCCAATATGCATAGTGAGGAAGAAGAGCAGTGCTCCAAGACCACATAGGCTGGGCCTACATTAGTCTTTTCTGCTGGAAAACTAGAGATTTAGGTCCATTGTATGTTTAGCACAGAAGTGACTACCTGCTGCACTTAGGCATCAGGGCACCCCCCCACACACACACACACTGCTCTAGAGCAAAGCTCTCTTCCCATTCTGTATATTGCTGCAAGTTCACTTGATTGGCAGCATAGTACAGCTGCCAAGTAATTTTTTTTTGCTTTGAGGCAGCTCAGCAGGTGTTTAAACACGCACAGTTCCACGTGGTGCGAGCCGTGCTGGACTCCTACCTTCCTTACAATCACTCTTAGCAAATAGTGCCCTGTAAACATTACAGGTTGCACCTCATGGGGTCTCAAAATGAGACACAAAATTGCGTTCCTTGCACTTTCATGCAGTGGGTTATCCAAAGCAGGGCACACAAGCAGGTGTCCTTTGATTTGACATCCACAGATGTCAACTCTTTTTAAAGTATATAAAGTGACAGAGCCTATTCACCTTTGCTGCTGGGGTGCACTGGGGAAAATGCACATCCAACCTCCGCAGGAACTCTGACCGGTAAGTGCTGCACCAAGGCAGTCCACTTCTGCATCTAAGCACAAACCTGAGGTGGCTTCTCTCAACACATCGCTAATTTGTTTAAAGTCCAGGTACGGGGCAGAATTACTCACTGGAAGCTACAAGGTTTGGCAGAAGCAGAACGAGAAAGAAAGGGAAGTATACAATTGACTGTTAGGAGAGAGCCCTTAGGAGAGTTTAGGGCAACTGAATTGCGCCTCATTTCAACCCCTACTTCGCCCCATAGCTAACGGTGCAGCAGCACCTGGCAAGCTGCAGACAAGCACTAAATACCCATTAAGTATTAAAGTTTCCTTAGCTGTGAGCTTCAAAGGAGCATGGAGTCTTAGACCTGGTCTACACTGGGGGGTGGGGGTGGTTGATCTAAGATACGCAACTTCAGCTACGAGAATAGCGTAGCTGAAGTCGACATATCTTAGATCGACTTAGAATCACTTACTTCACGTCCTCGGCTGTCGAGCTGCACCTAATGGAAGTCCCTGTTGCATTTTGGTGGCCTGAGAGGTCGATTCCTTCAGAACCCTTTCTGGTGTGATCAAGTTTTCCTCTGAAAATGAGATTCCAATTTGGAGAAGGGAAATAAAAGTCCCATCGCTAATCAATTGGCACAGAACTAAACATAAAAACTTGCTGATAAGTTAGATCCAGATTTTGCAGCAGGTAAAATGTATCCTCCTGCTGTTTCATGGTGATTTTGTTTTATTGGGGGGGCATGTTACAGGAGTATGACAGAAAATGGAGAGCAGCAGCAGTGTGACTCCTAATATCCTGCCCTGCACGACTGAGTGGGGCATTTGGAACCTAAGTGAAATCCTTTCTTCTCAGGCTGCTCTGCCAAGTATGGTAAACAAAAAGGAAAGACCTTTGGAGCCATTCAGCCAAGGACGAGGGAAATTGGGGCATTTTACTAATGCAACGGGGACTTCCACTACGTGCAGCTCGACAGCACCCAGCACGGCCTCAACTGTCTCTTTGTAGCTGCTAAGGCGCGCTAGGCAGAGCTTCAGAAAAGGGATTAAGGAGGCATCTCAGGCTGCTAAGGCACCAAAAACCCACAATAGAAAAAGAGCTTTTGCTTCCCAGAACCTCCCCCCCACCTCCACCCCACCCATCAGCTTTTAATTTTCTCCATGGATGGTACCTGACCTGATGTACTCTTTGCTCATAACAAGTTTTGCTTTAAAGTGCAGCCAGCAGCTTAAGTGACAGAGCAGAAGAACATCCACTTGAATTCAAGAGCCGTAGCAAGGGTGGGAGAGATTGATGGACACAACGTGGGTTAAGAACTGAAGCTGCACTTACCCGTGAGCCTGAAAGACTGGAAACCGTTTTTCTGGGACACTGTCAAGCATCTCCTGCATCCCACACACACAATATTCCATCACCATATACGTGAAGGCAGAGTTAAGGAAGCACCGAGGTTAAATGCTCACCCAAGCAAGCACTGTGTTACGACCACAGTTCCGATTCTGTGCTACTGGAGAGCAGCAGTACAGGCGGTACCCTTGCATGGTACGCGCACAGTTCATTGTACCACAAAGCCCACGTTTTGTTGGGTCCTCCCATTCTGCCTTTATTAGGAGAGCGTTTAAAAGGATGCCAGGGTCCAATTTTGAAGCTGGGGAAAGTATTTCCTCCTTTTGCTGCTTGCCTGTTTAAAGGGCAGGCTCACAGTGGAGGCGGCTGCATGCAGCAGTAACGTTCCTTAGTTAGGTCTTGAGGCATTCCCAAAGAAATGGCCTCTCCTTCATTTCCCTCGTCCTCTCCCTCCAGTTCTGATCCTAGGGAAGAGGAGGTGTCATCATCTAGCCCTAATATTGTTGGCTATGTCTGATTTTTGCCTCTCTCTTTTGAGACCAGCACTTTTGATGGGGCCCCATGATTCCTAGAGCACCTTTGCCATGCTGAAAGATAGCTGGACTCAGATTAAGAGACACGGAATTTGGGGTGGGGTGGCATTGTTTTAGGAAGAAATCAAGCATCTTTGCTTTCACCTTATGGCTTTTGTCCAAACCCAACAGAGACAGGGATATCAGAAATGGGGCTGGGGAATTTTTTCCAGAGTCAAGGTCTGGGTTTCCGTGGGATGATCTTTCCTTTCATTTGTCCCACTGCTCCTTTGATCTCCAGGTCCGGGCACTCACAGGCCAGGGCTGGGGGAGATGAGGGTAATATGGGCCAGGGTTCCTCTTCAGCAATTTCTGCCCAGAATGGCAAATCCCAGGGAATCAATGAGAACTGTGGTTAGCTAGTAAGAGGGAGAGGGGCTGCCATGGGAGAACCAGTCTCCACCACCTAGTACCCCACAAATATCCTAGGCCTGATGGACAGGAACGGCTAGTAGGAAGTCCTCAGAGAGAAGCAACGGTCCTGGCCCCTTTTCAATGGGGCATAAAAGCTTGGGGGCTTTTGGGTGCTAAATGAAATGAGACTGGGGATGGCCTTAGAGAGGAATTGCCCACACACCACTGCTTGACATGCTCCCCACCGTACGGGGAGAAGGGCACTATCCAGCTAGCTCAGCTTTCCCCGGCCCAAGAAATGGGGGCCTTGGCTGTCTATTCTTGTGCTGGGCAGATCTCACTCTCGAGCACGAGCTGCAGGACGCGCACGTTCTCTCTACCAGCCTACTAGCCATGCTAGGGTCAAGCAGGACACGTGCCACTGCAGCGCTCATGAGGAAAAAAGCCAAGAATCAAGTGGCTCAGCCCCAAAAGCCAGCCAACGGGTGTCAAAGATCCAGCTAATTAAAGCCCAAAATACACTAGAAATTTCACATTGTAGGTGTTGGTTTAGAAACGGTTTTGAACCACACACCAGGGTGCTCTGCAGCGAAGAGGTCTGTCCACCCTGTCTGCAGCTGCAGACGCAGAACAAAACTGGCAGGTCTTCACCTGAAGGTGTGTATCCCTAAAGCAGTGAATGACAGGTCTAAAAATACGCCAGCAGGCTGAAGTCCCAATGCAAACACTGTGGGCTTCACTATGCTGAAGAAGTTAGAGATCCCAGGACACCTTTCACAGGTCTAGGAGTGGTTATTCCCAATGCCCTGGACAATATTCCCTCCTGAAATAGCAGTGTATAAAAATCAGCTGTGTAACGAAGTGTGGTATTCTTCATTTCCTGTCCCAAATGTACAGGGTGTTGCCATGGGCTGTTTAAAAGCGGCAGCTTATTACCCCAAAGGTCGTAGCATTTCCAGGGTGGGAGAAAGCTGCTTTGGGAGCCTCTATATACTAAAACATCAGGCATTGTAAGTGGCTTTTGCCACACAGACACTTTGACATTTGTTCCTCTCTCCACCACTAGCTTTGCACTTGTGAGTTACCTAGAGGATAAACAACTGAAGCAATTTGGCTGCCAAAAGCAACAGTCACCTTTTCTTTTCTCCTCCCACTGGACTCTCAGAGGCAAACAGAAAACCCTACAGGTGCTTGCATTAAACCCACAGGTAGCCTGAGACATCGGGTGGCTATGCAAGGGCATAGCATCTTTGAGATGCAGACAAGGAAGCAACATAACTCTGGGAACAGGGGCTCTAGGAGTGCAGAGCATTAGTTTCCCCATTTTAATCACTCCTGGCAGATGTCTTTTGGCCTAGGCCTAGGCCAAAAAACAAGTTGCTGATCGCCACAGATGCCATGACAATTGTTCTGGGGCTACTGACGGCCACAGGAGAGACTGCTTGTTTTAAATGGGATCCTTATGAAGAAGTTGCACTTCTGTAGCACTTTCCATCCTGGGATCTCAAAGCACTTTGCGAGCCTATGAAATCAGCAATACTACATCTCTCATTCAGGGCTTTTTTCCAGGGAGCGAAACTGAAGTAAAGAAGATATGTGATTGATCCGCACAGCAAGTCAGTGGCAGAAGTGGGAAGAGAAACCAGATCTCTCAAGTTTCACTCTCTTGTTCTAACCACTGAGGAAGCAACCGGGCTGGTTGCATCAAAGAAGGGAATAAGTGGGAAGACAGCAACTTTCCCACCTTCAAACGAGCAATGCTAAAGCTAGCTCTCACTTCATGGGAGTCTCCCAGAGTGAACTCCAGCTATTGTTCCTTTTTAGAAAGGACAACCTACTCCCAGTTCAACTAGCTGCCAGACTGTGCCTTCTTTTCCCTGCTTCCCCCTTACCTGGAGCTGATCCTTCTCTGGCTGACTAACTAGATTAGAACCCAGACATAATTCAGGCTGGAAGGTTTTACTGAGTAGATCTATTACAGGCAACCATGAAAAGGCTGAAGCTCTCATTTTTTCCACTCAGTAGGGCTCTCCTCCCACACACAGTTGCATTTATTGATAATAGAAGCCATCAGGAGAGGGTGCCAGCCAGGAGTTTGCTTATTAAATTGGGTTTATTTTCTGCTTGAATGAGGCCCTCCATTCATCTCCAGTGCTGCCTTCCCATCAACAGCAGATCTGCTCAATGGCCTGTTAAATGCCAAAGTCTTTTTTTAATCCATTCATCATAGCTTTCCCGGTACCAAAAATCAATGAAGCCTGTGACCAGCCAAGCAACCTGTTAAACGGTGCATTGCCAAGCTTAAGCATGGCTAAAGCGCACATTTCACTTCTACCAACTTAGTGACCTCAAAGGTGGGTGACACTGGCAAAACCATGGTGGAGCACAGGTTCAAAATAGGTCTCTGCTGCTCTTCTGGAAAGTCACTTTTCAATAGCGAAAGCTTTCGCTTCAAGAGACAAAGATGGTCTTTTATAATGGGAGGGGGGGGAGAGAGGGAGGAAGGAGGGAAGAGACACCAAGAGTTGCTCAAATTCTACACTAAAAAGGATGATTCGGATGGATAATGTTTGTAGGCATCACATCTAACTGAAATCATTCCCCTCCCTTCAATCCAGTTCCCCAAAACCTCCAAATCCATGATGAGGCTTTGTTCACATGAGCTTCGCCACCGCCACGTTCAGACAGTTTGTGCTAGAACAACAATTTCCTTGACCTGAGAGATTCCCCCATCTGACTGCAGTCAGAGAGCCATGCTAGAACCCTGCTGACAACAGCCATGGATAAAATCTGACTATGACCTGGTCTACACTTAAAAATTAGATCAGCCTAGCTAGGTCGCTCAGGACTGTGAAAAACTTTGCTCTCTGACCACGTGAGTTAGGTCAACCGAACCCCCCGACGTAGACACAGCTAAGCCAATAAAAGAATTCTTCCATTGACCTAGCTACTGTCTCTTGGAGATGGGGATTAACTACATCGACAGAAAAAACCCTCCCACCAGTGTAGGAAACATCTGCACTGTATCGTGCAGCTACGCTACTACAGCATTTGTAAAGCAGATCTAGCATACCTGTCATGATGCTAATTCCCTTGTGGACAGGGCCTTAGTAGGTCTTGCTACAACGTGGACCTTTGGAGGCTGTCTACACTGGGGAAATTTTCTAACTGGTTTTAAAATTAGTTCAGCTACTTATCTGGTTAGTTCACAGTAAAATCCTAAGTAGAGATAAGGCACATGTACTGTTTACTGCAAGGTATCTAGGAGAGGTTAGCACTATACCCCAGCCATGGCTGACCTTGCTTAGCTTATGCCCCAGTAAAACGAAAGTGCTTTCTCTCCACTGTTTTCACAGTGGGATAGCTAACCCATGTTAATTACCCCGTGATAAACACATGCCTTTGTCAGTGGAGACATAACTTCTCCAGTGTAAAGACCCTTTCTGCAACATAAAACTTGGCCCAATGGCTGCCCTTGCTTAGTCTCTCAATGTAGCGGTCTACACATGGAGAGTAAGCAGGCATGGGAATAAACTCAGAAGCCTCACAGGCATTTAGAAATGGGAGAAAAGCAAATCCAGTGGACTGAACAAAAATAAGGCAGCTGGAACTTGGAAATTAAACAGTCAATTCCAGTGTTACCCAAGAGCATAGTGCTGGTGGAGAGAGGTCTTCAAAGATTATTAGGGTACAGAGAAGAAGGAAAGCAAAGGGGGAAAAAAAAAAATACACTCTCTCCGCCTTTGCTTATTGACACAAGCATTTCTGAATGACAGCTATGAGCTGTCAACACCTTTTACAAACACACGAGGTCCCCCTTGGGCTCTTTTTCCCTTCTCATTCGGAATTTCAGCTTCTTATTCAATTAAATGGCAGCTTTCTATGGACGGTAATTGAATTATCCAATAGTAACTGACCAAAGAGATAAAAATTAGGGCAAAAGTTGTGATGCAGTTTTTAATACTAATGACTTGGTTGCAAAGGCTTCGATCTAATTAAGTGCAGGATTAAATTAGCTGGCCACTGATGTACTGTAAAGGGAGCACTCCGTATGCAGAAGCCATTGTTGAAAATAAAAGCAACCATTTAACATGGAAGACAACAATGGTTCGACTCAATAAGGTCAAATTGGTTTAAGCCAAAAGGCACTTTGTTGGAGTGTAGCAGCCTCATTAGGAACTGTCTGGCTGCTCACTTGGTTTTGGTCTCCTTTTCAAAGTAAAAGAACAGTGTATTTAATTAATTAGTTAACGTTTGTGCAGTGCTTTGAGAATGCAGCAGGCAATAGAAGTGTCAAATATTATTTTGATGTCTTGGTGTTTCTCTTCAGAAATCACAACCCAAGGCTCGGTTTCAAAACCAGAATGGTTTGGTCTTGAAAAGTCAGGTTGCAAATTCCGTGGGAGTGGTACGCTTCCCATCTCTCGTGTCTATCATCAGGTTTAGTCTGTTTAAAGCCATGTCTACACTGCGCACCTTACAGCGGCACAGCTGTGCAGCTCCAGCCGTGCCACTGTAAGGTACGCAGTGTAGCTGCTCTTTGTCGGGGAGAGCTGTCCTGCCGACAAAATAAAACCATCTCCAACAAGGCGCGGTAGCTTTGTTGGCGGGAGAGCGCCTCCCGCTGACAAAGCAATGTTCACACTGGTGCTTTTTGCCGGTAAAACTTTTGTTGGTCAGTGGGTTTTTTTTTTTCCCACACTCCTGACCGACAAAAGTGCAGTGCACAGACATAGCCGTGTCAAAGGACGTTGAAGGGATCTGCAAAAAATCCAAGGTGGTTTTAATCAGTCTGGGAGCTAGTTCTGACCTGTTAAGAACGAGCAGCAGCAAACTGCCTCTAGAGAAGGACTCCAGAATTCAGTAGTACACACTCCTGCACAAGGAAGGTAGAAGTGCTGGCAGGCATCTGTACTCTAGAGAACTGGATGGTTTTAAAAAAGGAAAGAACACCACACCTGAGGCCATGAGGGAACAGCATTACAAAAAGGAATTACTCCATTTTGCTGCACACACAGTGAGGGATCTGTTTTCAAAGAGGAAGGCACTATTAGCTAGTAGTAAGGGCAGGAGGTTGGGAACTAGGTTCTATTTCCAGCTCTGATTTACTTTGTGACCATCAACAAGTTCCAGTCTTTGTACCCCATCTGTAGACAATACTTCTACTTGACAGGAAACGTGGAGAACTTGAGGAAATGTGGTTGGATGGAAAGTGCTACCGAGCTGCAGAATGTTTGTTAACACTAGAGAATAATTTCAAGCCCAGGAAATACTCAAATGGGTGTTAACCAACTAAAGCAGAATCCTTTAGAGACACAGAACATCAAAGCTATGAGGATTTAGAACTGTCACACTCTAAGTAACAAGCATTAAAACCTTCATATCAACACCTGAGTGAAAATCAAAAGGATATATTTTCTGCTTCTCTTCATTATATAACACGTCTACCAGCTGGATGACATTTTTGTGTCGTAATCGTCGCAGGAGCTGAATTTCCCTGGGGAAGAAAGAAAAATAAATAAGTGTATTTCCCTACTATTGAGTGAAAATGATATTTTTCTAAAGTAGTTTTAGACCACGCTAATCCCAGCTGCTTCACTCCAGATTAGCGATAAATTCTGTTTGACAGAGAGCTTTGAGCTTGTTTTTTGGGTTTGTTAACCCAGGGTTAGAACCTTAAAATGTGTGTGTTCGTTGACTAGAATCAAAGGCAGGCGTCCTTTTCAGTTACGGCTGCCTGGCCACTCAATACTCCTGGTACGGGGATTCTAGTTCATCAGTGCACAAAGGCAGAACTATTCCCAAGGAACAACTGCAGCTGCCCTGGTGCACCAAAATCCAGAAACTCCACAGGACTGCAAGCTCCAAGGCCTAGTGTAGTGGCTGGACCTGGCGTGGCATTAAAACACCAATAATAGAATCCTGTTTAGCTGTAAATGCTATAGAAAAAACAGTCAGCTGCAGATATATGCTGCTTTCGTCTACATTGAGATAGCACAGTCGCTCGTTAGAAGCTGGGAACCCAGGTTCTAGCCCCACCTTTGGCTGTTTTTCAAAATATAGATACTCCCCACCACCACCAGAAATGTTGCATCCCATCGCCCATCCCATGCAAAAAGAGCCACATTACATACACCTGACCACCCATAGTCCCACACTTCCTCCACAAACATTGGAGAGGAATTAAAACAAAGCCTGGGGAACCGACACAAGTAATACGTTGAAGAGCTGACCCTGCCCAGGACCTACATATTCCAAAACTTTCAGTTACAAGTCAAACGATTGATTCAATTCTGATAGACAGCTAGCTTTCTTTGCAGATGTAAAAGAAAACTCTAGTCACGCAACTTCACCTGCTACTAGATCTTACAATAGATAAATCAGGTGCTTCTAGGGAGGGAATTCTGAGCTGAGGAGGGGCACTATCAAGATAAATCCTAGGTTTAAAATAAGCTCATGGTACTAAACACCAGAGTTCATTAAAACAGATGATTTTTTTTTTAAATCTCATTTACTTTCACCATCTATTGTTGTGTATTAACTTTCAATTTCCACACACAAAGTCCAGAATTTGGTCTAGGTAACTCCTGCACGCTGTAAAGCGACAGCAAAGTGCAAAAAAGTTAATTCGCTTAGGCAGGATCATGCGCCAGGATGGAGATCGGCATGACTGAGGGCAAGACACTCCACCTGTTTGGGCCTCAGTTATTCCTGCCCCCCTTCCGAAAAACAAAGATAATACTTTATAGAGTGCTTTAATATTTACAGACGGCGTTTTACACACAGAGAACTCTAAGTACGTGCATTGTTTCTAGGCAGTTTCTCTTGCATCACATGCATTAGACCAATGCTGTTGTGTTTGGCTCCCAACACAGCAAGAGGATGTTTAATTGAGAGTAAGGAAATGGTGGAATTGTTCACAAGATCCAGTTATGCCAGCACACAGCGTTGGGACGAACTGCAGCATCTGTCAACCTAAAAGGCTTGTTTTTCATTGCAATTTTCTTTCCAGGGTACATCTGGTAGCCAGGGTATCCATCAAGTTTGGCTAGGCTTATTTCACTCAATGTTTTATAGAGGAACACTGGGGGGGAGGTCCCCTCCCCATTTGTCAAGTAAGGAACAGCTGAGCAACTGCAAACTCAATAACAGGAAGAGCAATCTAATGCTATGTCACCCCACATAGGAAGCTGACTAGAGGGTTCCACTGGCATGTCATCCAGATAGAACACTGCTCGCTAGCAAAGGAAGACCGCGCACAGGGACATCCATGCCCTGCAGACTGCTTGCCTTTACAGGATATGTCTTTCTCCAGCAAGTGACTACAGATGGACTCTGCATCCTTTCCAGTCAATAGTTCAGGGCAGAAGTCACAAAACGACCCTGAATTTTATAATATGCAGGAAGCAGATTCATGAGTTTTTCCCAGATCAAGCACTCTTGCTAGAGACGCTAGAAGGCTAGAATTCACAGCTGGCCTCTGCATCTGAGCCTCTAGAGATGGACCATGAATTGTACAGAACCTCTACCAAACTGTTTGGATGCCCAGTTCTAAGAAACCCTTTTTCTCTGCCCTTCATGATTCTGAATGTATGACCACCATCATCTGTGGTTACATGAGCTAGGATAAAATTGCTAGGGCTATCAATGCCTTTATCAGCAGCAAGAGAAGCAAGAAATAGAGCTGTGCTGTGTCACAGCATAGGGCAACATTGCATAATTAGGTGCCTTACTCCTTTGGATGCAGTCTACATCAGGCACTGTAACAAACAGGATAAGAGACTAGATGGACCATCATTCTGTTTCAGGGGGACAATTCTTATGTTCCTCATTTAAGGGAGCATCAACTTGAAATCCAGTGTTTTCCAAAAGGAGTTAAAAAATCAATGCTAAGTACTACACCTTACCTTAATTCCTATGGTCAATTGCTGTTTTAGAGTCACTTTTAGGACTACTCTTTCCTTGTTCATCATTCACACAAGGCTTCCCCAAACCACAGGAAACTAATCAACTGACTGCATGATTTTAGGCAGATGCCAAAAATCAACTAAAGAAATTCAGTCTCATAAAATGTAAGACCAGAAAGGACCAATTAGATCATCTAGTCTGACCTCCTATCTAACACAAGATCAAACTGGAGTAAGATATTTCCCCCTCTAATCTGAGAGAGAGATAGATAACAGCTAAGATCACTGCAATAGTAAATAAAACAAAATTTCGAAATGCAAGGCTGACTACCGAGTGTCCCATAAGGTGTCCTGACAAAACAAGAATACTCCATTAGACAGTTAAACAGTAAAGAGTGCAACATGAGGTTAATCGGTTTGCAATTAAACATTCTATACTTCAGAGCAAGGTGTCAGCACCTCCACAACACCCTTCTCAGTCACTGCCAATGGGTATCCACATGCACTGAATACGTGGGGATGGGGAAGGGACAAGGACTTGTTACTTCAACTCAAGCTTTTCTTGGTTACTATTCCATATGAGAATTAACCAAGGAAGGTTAATTATGCAAAGAGAAAGCTTACACGTGCTACCGCTCTTCCTGGAGTGGTTATTCAAGGAGATACACAAGTCATCAAGGCTGCGCCTATGAAGGAAATCTACCATAATTCATTCCCCATCTCCCCCCTTGCTTTAACACAGGAGAGTTAGCTATCAAAGGTGCCTTGAGACTGAGCAACATCGTCACTGTCCAAGTGCATTACATCTCACACCGCGCATTGGATCCATAGCCATAAAAGGGAAGACAGACATCTCAGACTGCCAGGGGAGTGGTGAATCCCAACAGCATTGCAACAGCCCAGCAAGAGTTCTTCAGTGTTCAGGTTGTTCCAGAGGTCTCCACTGGACTGGAACCACATCCATCACCTGTATGTACTAAAACTGCAGATTCAAGAATTAGGTACAGGTGAATCGTGCTGAATAAAAATCTAAATTCCTCTTATGCAACAGAAAACTATCTGGGTAGCTCCATAGAGCCCTTGGCTGAAGTTCCGATTTGTTCCAAATTAATGTCAAACATTCAGATGGGTTTAAAGTGTTTGCAAAAAATATTGCATTTTAATAGGACACTGGTATCAAGCCCTAATTTTAATTTCTGAAGACAAAGATTTTTTACAAAACCATAAAATGGCTAAGTTCTTTTTTTTAAAAGTAGGTTTGTTTCCATTCAGACATATTCCTCCCCCCGGTAGCATTTGCAGCCCACACAAGGAAACTATTGTGTTAACACAGGAGGGCCTGAAAAGTGAAACCAACTAGAAACAGAGTGAATCTGACTGGCCTATTTTCAGTAGCCACAGCAAGGGAAGCACAACAGAAGATATGTACGATTTTGTGTGTGTCAATATGTGGGAATTTTTTTTAGAAGTCTAAAAAAAAAAACACAGAGCAAGAAGATTGCATTCAAATTCAGTTTTCACAAGCTACAGGGTTAGACAGGAAGTCGAACTTTTAGACTCAGGCAGAATCTGATACTCCCTTCCAATTCAAATATTTCCCCGCACGTTAGAACATAATCCATGTGGCTGGGCTTTTGTACGCCAAGCACACAGTTAAAATAAATAAATAAAGTCGTCAACATAACCGGGAAGGCAAATACAACTTCAAGTCCTTGGGTTTCTTTTCTTTTATGCAGTAGAGTTATAGTATGTGCAGAGTTCTTATTACAAGCAATATGCTAAGATAGCAAATGCTCGACAGCCACAGGCTTTGGGTGCTCCAGAACTGCATAACTATCTGCAGAGGACGGCTAGACATTTCTTAGAAGTGGGAGGTAATCCACCCCCTCTCCACAGCAGTAGCACCAGCAAAATAACCTTGGGGGCCTCCCCCTGCCCTCTTATCAAGTGGATACTACTTAGAGATGGAATCCTGAGACGGCCTCAATGACCCCCTCCACCCATTTCTAGCCCTGTTCTGTCTTTTGCTCCCTAAAACCAGCAGGGGGGAGGGGGCTTTGTGCAGGCAGCTTGCCCGTGCAAAAGGTTTAACCTCCAATCACTCAGTAGCAACACCTGTTGGCAGATTAGCTGAGGCTTTAACAGAGCTTTGAAAAGGTACAACAGCCCCAGGCCCAGAAAAAAAGGTGTTACAAGCGAAACAGACATATGGAAAGTAGGGGAAAAAAGTGAACAGTGAAGCCTATCTAAAGGGCCTCAAGGTTAGCCTGGACTCCGTCTGGAAAGAACATTTGTTTTGCTAACAAGTAGAACTAAAGCTATTATTCTATTCCACATTCCCCAGGTTCATGGAGCATCTTCTCTGGCAGGGGGAGCCAGCCACCCATGTCTCCACTGTGCATGGGCTATTACAGTTCACAATGTGGATTTGTACACTGAACCTGTTTTCAGCACAAATGTGCCATTCAAGAAATGCCATTTAAACTAGACCCAATACTTTGAGAAGAAGAGCAGCCCACTTCTTTCTGGTGTTTTCACTGGACTACAAAGGGGACACCCAAAGTCGGACTAAGGGCTCCACAGGCAACTT